TTAATTGGTTCAAAATAGAGCTGCCAGGCTGCTGACGGGGACTGGGCATTATGTTCACATGACTCCAGTTCTCCATCAGCTTCACTGGCTTCCCATTGAAGTCTGGGCCCAATTCAAGGTGTTGGTTATGACCTATAAAGCCCTAAACGGCTTGGGTCCTGGTTACCTGAAGGAGTGCTTATGTCCATATATGCCCGCCCACCCCCTGAGATCTGCGGGAGAGGCCCTTCTCCGGGAACCCTCCGTGAAGGAAATTAGGATGGTGAGTACTCAGAGGAGGGCTTTCTCTGCAGTGGTGCCCAATCTATGGAATGCGCTCTCCAGAGAGGTCTGCCTGGCACTGTCGTTATTTGTTTTTCGGTGCCAGGCGAAGACCTTTTTATTCAAACGTCATTTTAACTGTTAATAGTATTTATTTAATTCTTTGGCCAGGGTGACTTATTTTATACTGTTAATTTATATTATTTTAATTGAAGCTATTTATGTTGTGAGCCGCCCCGAGGCTTCAGCGAATGGGGTGGCATAGAAATTTTCTAAATAAATAAATAAATAAAATAATAAGAAAGCCAAACTTTTGTTTTATTAGGGAGAAATACATCTGTTGCAAGAAATATTATTGGCTATGTAATTCAAGTGCTAATGGATAAAATATGAATACTGTCGTATTTCCAGAATGTGATGACATTGATTAAAGAGGGGGAACGTCCGGCCCACAAGCCAAATGTAGCCCATGAAGCTTCCTTAACTGGCCTACCAAGGATTCCACTGAAGCCCTTCTCCTTCAGAAAGCCCAGGCCCTCCGGAGAAGAGAGAGGGGTGCTGGATCTTGAAATGTCTTTCTTTGTGGTAGTATGTTCCAGAGGTGGCGGTGCGGGGGGAGAGCTCCCTATCCCAACATAGATTACATATGTCTCAGAGGCTTTATAGGGGGAAGCACAAAAACCAGAGCGCCTACTGTTGAGGATTGCTAAGAAAATGGGACATTAACAGAAATTCCAGATAGCCCACTTCTTCTCCTGTTTTATTTCCCTGCCATGAGAGTTGGGGTTCAGCTAAAATAGGCTGGTTCTCATTGCTTCAGATAGCTCACTGCCACAACTCACATGGTTACTGAATACTGATAAGAGACAGGGAAAGTAGCCAAGAGATTGTTGAAATAAACACCCACTTGGCAGGCTGATTTCCATGGGTCAGCTTGACCTAGATGGGTCATCATGACCAACATGTGTGTGTGCGCTGTGGGTACTAAGAGGGTTTAACTCTGCATTTGCCGATGTCTGTAACATCACTTAGGGCTTAATTCTATGACCTCTAAACACTGTCTACGTGGCTGTAGATCAGGGCTGGGACTCCCACTACCAGTGTCGTCCCTCCAATCTTGTAGCTTTTGTGACTTCAGAGCCAGCGTGTAGGGTAGAATTCCTGGGGGTCTGAGAAGAGTAAGGTTCTGTCAGCAAATAAGGAATCTTAGTGGTACCTCAACCCCTCCTCCTTGTGGGCAGGACAAAATATACAGACTACTGAAATTGGTTGTCTAGGTCATTTGTGGGATGGAAGGAGTGGTCTTTGCATTCTTCCTGCCTGTGATTGGATGCCTGCAATCTTCCGAGTGACTCTGTATGGTACCCTAAAGAAATTCTACTAATCTCATAGAAGTAGGTGCCATATTCAGAATACCTTTGCCCTGCAAGTCCTTGTCCTATAACCACAAAGCACTGGTACTCTATCAATATGTAACCTATTAAAAAAAATCAGATGGCCGGTATTGAGTAACAAAAAGGGAAACTGTGAGGAGACTGGCCAGTTTCTGGTATGTTAGATTAAATCACTGGGGTATTGATTCTAATGGGGTTATTCCATAGCAATGAGCTAGTGAATTGCCTCCGTAAAGTGTGCTTTGTGAGGTGAGTTCCCTAGATTATGTGGCATTGAACACCACACAGATGATGCTCCAGTTCAATTGTTTGAATTCAGCACTCTTCAGCATGCTAGCTCTATCATACAGATATTCTGTCAGACAGAGGGCAAGAATTCAATTCAATCCCTTGCTGCAAGGAAGGAACACCAGAGATCCTGTAATATGTACGAACATGAAAAGCGATTAGGCTGGTGGGTGTACAGGACAGGCCCTTCTCTTTAGCAGCACCCTGACTGGGAAGGTCAGGTCTGTTTTAAACGTCCTGTAAAAATGACACTGTTCCTTGGGGGTTTTGATGGATTTTAGTGTCACTCCCTGGTTTATTTTAAATCAGGTTCTATTCTGCTTTTATCTGGTTTTGCTGAACTGTTTTTTGAACTGAATTTGAACCTTATTGATGATATCCATACAGTAATCTCCCAGGGCCATAGTGTGTCATAAACATATTTCAAATTACTCAAGAACACATAAGTCACATGTGATAGGAAAAGGCAACATTGTGAAACCAAAACATTGTCTAATGTTTTTACTCCTTGTATTATAACTGATGTTTGAAACATAATTATTCTAAGCAGCCTTGAGATCTGTTAAGGAAAGGGGAAATATAACTATTTTAAACAATCAATAAAATTATGATCACCATCTTGAGTTGTGTTGAAGAAAGACAGGATACAAATGTAATAAACACACCTCTTGCAAGATGATTAGCCAAGTTGTTCTGGGAAAAGTGGTCACAGCTGAAGAACTGAGGAACCAATTAAGCCCTGTAAGGACTGACAACATTCCCAGTAGAAAATTGCACTGAGGTGGATAACAATGCAGTCCAAGCACTGTATGGCAATCTCCAATCCTCCACGGGCAAAACAGGTAACAAGATAGTATTGGGAAATAAACAAGAACAGTGGACAAAGATTGATCTCACAAGATATTCATAACTTATCACAGCATAAGGGGTGACATACTGAAAACTCATTATACTCCTACATGTACACACAATGGAACTCTAAGTGAATTCCTCAGACATAAGCCACATGTTTGAAAAAAATGTTTATTGTAAAAAGTTAAGCCCCTTCACACTCCAAATTCAAATAAGCTATATAGAAAATACAATTAGGATCAATCCATTAATCAAACACCCTTGTAACAGCATTATTAGACTCTACAAAATGGAAGTACAATTGTTCTTGAAAGTTGAGAAACTAGCAGTTCAGATAGAGCTTCTTCCCACTACCAGTCTCTGAACAAACATATTGGCATCATGACACTCCCGCCCCATCCCACATGCTATGCAAAATATTCTCATTTTGTGTGCCATATGCTTCAGAAGCTATATCAGTGCTCTGTAGGTGGAGTGAGGAGATGCAAGGGCAATTATCCTAGCAACCGTCCACCAGGTCAGGATTTTCAAGCTGGTACACACACTTCTCACAACGAGGCAGCTGTCATCCGGGCAGAGAGGAAACAGTTGCCTTTTCCAGATCTTCTCCCAAGAAGTGGGAGGAATAGCAAAGAGAAGCAGCAGCAGATATGACTAAAAACTCTTCCTTCACCACCACTTGTGATGTATGGCTTTATAAATCTCTGATTGCTCTTGCACAATCCACCTCTCTAAGCAAAAAGCCACATTGGTAAAAGCAAACATCCTATGAGCTGGATTAGGTAGCTCAAATAGATTTATACACACATACACGCGCACTGAATATTTTTCATAAAACTGGTATATAAGTAAGAAAAGGCTCAACAATTTATTATTAAAAATAAAGTTGCCCTTTAAATTGTACAAAAAAACAATGAAAACATCTCCTGGATGTAGTAAGCTTGGATACAGAGAGAGCATGTCAGGAGCATTTCCAAACACAGACAGCTAGACTGCCTCCAAAGAACATGTAAAGCAGATTCTTCACCTCATGAGTGATCTCGAATCCAAAGCCCTCACCAATCACCACATGCCAGGAAGAGCCAAACTTCTTGTCCATTGTTTCTTTGATCATCTTGGCAGCACTCTGAAGGGAAAAGATGACAAAAGAGGAGGAACAAGAAATTAGAAAGATGGAATGGGTTTGTCTGCCTCACATGTCTTACAGTTAGATTAATGCATTGGAGCAGGGACACAAGCAATAAGAAATATTTCAGTTGCTAATGTATGAACATGCAGTAAAAGAAAGAATAATATTTATGTTCAGATTTTTCTCCCAGACCAAATTTGTTTTAATTTTGGAGTTGATTCAAGAAGTTAATGAATATAACCTGGAAAAAAAAAAGGAGTGAAGAATTAGGACCATTCTTTAAATTAAATGAAAGTCAATAATGGGACCACCAACATGGGAGAGGGCCTGTCATCTTGCCCCACAGGATGCATAAATCTGCTGAATGGGAGCCTAGGCTGGCTGCAGAGACCCAGAACAGTCCAGCAGGTAACCACAATACTGTCAGAGAATGAGAATACCTTAGAAAATAGGTTGAATTGCTGAAGTTTACTAAAAGTAATTTTATTCTTGTATTTATTTGGCAACTGCTTTATCTGCTGCTATCGGCTTTACAGTACGTTTTTTAATTATGGCTGTCACTGGAACATAGGAAGTCGCCTTATGCTGAGTCAGATCATTGGATCCATTTCGCCCAATACTATTAGCACTGACTGGCAGCAGAGCTCTTCAGGATTTCAGGAAAGAGTAGGAGATGCTTGGGAATGAATCTAAAACCGTATGTATGCAAAACATGTGCTGTACCACTAAGTTACGACCCTTTGCCAGCCTGTATTGTTTTGTTTTAATTTTTTTTATTTTTTATTGCATTTATATTCCAAGTTTTTTCTTCTAATTACTTTTGATATACTTATATTAGTGGTTTTGAAATCAATTTGAAATGCTTATGAGGTTACTTTAAGTAAGAATGAGTCTTATGGCATCTTAAGGACTCAAACACTGATGAAGCCATATATCGGCCCAATCTGCCCAACACCCACTCAAGGTGTTGATGATGAGCTATAAAGCCCTAAATGGCTTGGGTCCTGGTTACCTGAAGGAGTGCTTACGTCCACATATGCCTGCCCGCCCCTTGAGATCAGCGGGAGAGGCCCT